CACCTATTGCTATAAACATTTTTCTTATTGTTGTTTTTACTGTATCCTATAAGTTTTGATAAGTTGTGTTTCCATTTTCATTTGTTTTAAGGAATTTTCCAAGTTTCTTCTTAATTTCCGCATTGACCCACTGATCATTCAGGAGCATATTGCTTAATTTTCATATATTTGTATACTTTCCGAAGTTCCTCTTGTTATCTAGTGTTATTTTATTTTTTAAATTTATCTATGTTTTGAGACAGAGTCTTGCTCTGTCACCCAGGCTGGAGTGCAATGGCACGATCTTGGCTCATTGCAACCTCTGTCTCCCAGGTTCAAGTGATTCTCCTTCTTCAGCCTCCTGAGTAAGCTGGGATTACAGGCATGCACAGCCACACCTGTCTAATTTTTTTTTTGTATTTTTAGTTGGGACAGGGTTTTACTGTGTTGGTCAGGCCGGTCTCAAGCTCCTGACCTCAGGTGATCCACCTGCCTCGGCCTCCCAAAGTGCTGGGATTACAGGCGTGAGCCACCGCTCCCAGCCTCTAATTGTTATTTTATTGTGATCAGAGAAGATAGTTGATAAGATTTCAACTTTTTTGAGTTTTTATTTATTTATTTGAAATAGAGTCTCACTCTAATATTCAGGCTGGAGTACCTGGCACGATCTTGGCTCCACCTCCCTGGCTCAAGGAATCCTCCCACCTCAGCCTTCCAAGTAACTGGGACTACAGGCATATGCTACCACATATGGCTGATGTTTTTTATTTTTTTGTAGAAATGGGGCTTTGCCATGTTGCCCAGGGTCATCTCCAACTCCTGAGCTCAAGCCATCCACCCACTTCAGCCTCCCAAGTTGCTGGGATTACAGACATGAACCACTGTGCCAGGTCAAATTTTTCCTTTTTCCTTTTTTCTTTCTTTTTTTTTTTTAAGGGAGGGTTTCACTCTTGTTGCCCAAGCTGGAGTACAATGGCACCATCTTGGCTCACTGCAACCTCCACATCTGGGTTAAAGTGGTTCTCCTACCTCAGCCTCCTGAGTAGCTGGGATTACAGGCACCCGCCACCACGCCTGGCTAATTTTGTGGTTTTAGTAGAGACGGGGGTTTCTTCATGTTGGTCAGGCTGGTCTTGAACTCCCAACCTGAGGTGATCTGCCTGCCTCGGCCTCCCAAAGGGCTGGTATTATAGGTGTGAGCCACCATGCCCGACCTGCCAGGTCAAATTTTGAAAGACTTGTTTTGTGGCTTAACATATGGACGGCCTTTGAGAATGGTCCATGTGTTGAGGAGAAGAATGTATATTCTAAGGCTGTTGGACACAGTGTTCTGTAAATATCTATTGAGTCTATTTGGTCTGTAGAGAAAATTGGGTCTAATATTTCTTTGTTGATTTTCTCTCTGAATGATCTGTCCAGTGCTGAGAGTGGGGTGTTTAAGTTTCCGACTGTCACTGAGATCTGTTTCTCTCTTTTGCTCTAATAATATTTGCTTTATATATCTGGGCACTCCAGTATTAGGTACATATGTATTTATACTTGTTATTACCTCTTGCTGAATTGATCCGTTTATCATTATACAATAATCTTATCTCTTTTTATAGACTTTGTCTTAAAATTTATTTTATCTAAGCATAGCTACTCCTGCTCTTCTCTGCTTTTTGTTTGCATGGAATATCTTTTTCTAACTCTTTAATTTCAGTCTATGTGTGACTTTGTAGGTAAAGTGTGTTTTTTGTACACAATGGATCATTGGGTTTTTTTTTTCCCCCCCCCAGGTAGAGTCTCACTCTTGTTGCCCATGCTAGAGTGCAGTGGCGCCATCTCGGCTCACTGCAACCTCTGCTTGCCGGGTTCAAGCGATTCTTCTGCCTCAGCCTCCTGACTAGCTGGGATTACAGGCGCGTGCCCCCACGCCCAGCTAATTTTTGGATTTTTGGTAGAGACAGGCTTTCACCATGTTGGTCAGGTTGATCTCTAATGCCTGACCTTGTGATCCACCCACCTCGGCCACCCACAGTGCTGGAATTACAGGCTTGAGCCACCATGCCCAGCCCCCATTCTTCTTGAGAAAGTTTTTCAAATATTCAAAGGGAATTAAGTATTGTCATCTAAGTCTTTGTTCACTGCAGCTATACATAAGTTAGAGGGCACCCCATGCCTAGTAATGCTGTGCCTCTGTAGAGGTGTCACCTTGGTAGGCTTGGGGAAGATCCTGGAGTATTCCCTGTATTGCCAGGCAGTCTCTTGTCCTCTCTCTTCACTTTTCTCCAAATAAATGGAGTCTGTCTTTGTGCTGAGCTGCCTGGGGGAAGTTGGGGGAAGGGTGACAGAAGCACTGTTATGGCCACCATCACTGGAACTGTACTAGGTCTCATCCAAGGCCTATGGCAGCTGTTTTCTGGCTACCGTTGATGTTAATTCAAGGCTCAAGGGTGCTTTAGTCAGCAGGTGAAGAATCCTGCCAGGACTGGATCTTTACTTTTAGTGCAGCAGGTTCCCTTCTGGCCCAGGGTATGTCTAGAAATGCCGTCCAGGAGCCAGGGCCTGGGATCAGGAGCTTTAGGAATCTGATGCTTTATTTCACCAGGGATTAGCTGGCACCCACTTGCAAGATAAAACCTTTTTTACTTTTCTCTCCCTTCAAGGAGTGTCTCCCCATGGCCACCACAGCTGGGAATGTGCTGGGTCACACCTGAAGCTGGCACAATATGACATGGCTCCTTGCTTTTTATTCAAGGCACAAGGGCTCTTTAGTCAGCTGGTGGTGAATTCTACCAGGAATTGGCCCTTCAAGGCAATGGGTTCCCTTCTGGCCTGGGATTTGTCTAGAAATGTCATCTGGGAGCTATGGCCTAGAGTCAAGGCTTCTGGACTGTGCTTGGTGCCTTATTTTACTGTGACTGAACTAGTATCCAGATTGCAAGACAAAGCCCTCCCTACTCATTTCTCTCCTCCAAGAGCTGTGAGCTGCGCTACCTGGAGTTCAGGGAAGGCTGGCACAAGCATTCCTTTAGCCACCCTAGCTGTTTTCTCAGTGGGTCACATGTACCCCAAGTCTACTGGCTCTGAGCCCAGCACAGCACCATGACTTGTCCAGGAATTGCAGTCCTTGTTGCCTACACTGCCTTTCAAGTTTATTTAGGACCCCAGAGCACTTTACCCATCATGGCGGGGCATGCCAAAATTCAGATTCTAATCACTGAGATGGACAGTTCCCCTCTGACTAGGGCTAGTCTAAATACTCTCTTTGTGGGTGCCAGCTGAATTCTTTCCACTGTGACAGGGCAGCACTGACTTTCAATGCAAAATCCCACAGACATTTTGCTGTCTCTCCCCCAAGTAGAATTCTTTCTTTGCCCCACACTGCACTGTGGGGGAATGGCAGGGCTGTGTAGGGGGCAGTTCACAACTACCTTCCTTATCTTCAGTGCCTTTTTCCTTGATATGATGTCAAAACCAGGTACTGTGATCACTCACCTAATTTTTGGTTCTTATGAAGGTGCTTTCTTGTGTGGATAGTTGTTAAATTTGATGTTTCTTAGGGGGGATGATCACCAGAAGGTTCTGTTTGGCCACCATGCTCCGTCTCCTCTCCCCTGCAGTCTCCTTTTTTTACTTACGGATTTAGAATGTGTAACTGACCAATATGTCCAGTCAGGTCTCACTCAGAATTCATCTACTTCTGACCTTTTAAGCCCACTAGGCCCAGGGCTTAGTCCAGTCTCCACGATGGTCCCTCCGTATCCTTACTTGCCCCTCTCCAGTTCATTTTGCACAAAGCTGCTGTGTTCATCTTTCTGAACTATAAATCTGCTTAGTACTCTACCCTACTTAAAATTTCTCACTGAGTTCCCGTTTGTCCTGAGAATTAAAAGCCAAAGTCTTAAACATAGCTTTTAAAAAAATTTTTTTTATTTGTTGATAGAGTCTTGCTCTGTCGCCCAGGCTGGAGTGTAGTGGTGTGATCTTGGTTCACTGTAACCTCCGCCTCCTGGGTTCAAGTGACTCTCATATGTTAGCCTCCTGAGTAGCTATGATTACACGTGTACATCACCATGCCTGGCTAATTTTTTTTTTTAATTTTTAGTAGAGACTGGGTTTTGCCACATTGGCCAGCCTGGTCTCAAACTCCTGACCTCAAGTGATCTGCCCACCTCAGCAGAAAGTGCTAGGATTATAGGTTTTAGCCACTGCATCCAGTCCTGAACATAGCTTTTAAGTTCCTTTATTGTCACATTTCTTTTGGCGAGTCTGTCATTTTCTGACTCATTTGTACATGTATGTTCCACACTTGGTCCAGCCATTGGTGCTTTTCTTTAATACTTTCTCTTTTATTATTGTTATTATTACTTTAATGAGACAGGGTATCACTGTGTTGCCCAGGCTGGTCCTGAACTCCTGAGCTCAAACAATCTGCCTGCCTCAGTTTCCCACAGTACCGAGATTATAGGTCATGAGCCACTACGCCCAGCCCACTGGTGCTTGTCTTTTATGTGATTAGAGCCATCTTCTCTCTTTTCTTTGGATTTTTAAACATACTTTTTTTTTTTTTTAACTTAGATTATTCTCCATCCAAAACACCTCTCCTAAACTTCTTTCATACCTTAGACTAGCAGATGTTTCCATTAAGAAAACTTTCTTTTTTATAGGTTGCTTTTTCTATAGAATCTCTTAGCATTTACTCATTTTGTTGTGAAGTGTCTGATCTTACTCACTTGACAAGTATAGGAGGCTAGAAACTATGTCATATCTTTCTCACCCAGCAGGCACAATTTCTGACATGTGGTAGGCACTCAGTAAATACTGAACTTAAGAGGCTAGGACATTTGAGTGCTTTGGTGACTGTGGTTGTGCTATATAGGTATTCTGTTTTTGTTGCTTTGTAGTAAAAGCATTAAAGTATGAAAACATTATTCAGAACATTTCATGTGTATAGTTAATATTACTTTGCTTATGCTCATGGCAAAAATGAATTACTAAAGTGATTTAAGATATTTAAAATTATTTCCTTTATTTAGTTACAGCCAAGTTCTACTTCTGAATCTATGGATCAACTACTAAACAAAAATAGAGAGGGAGAAAAACCAAGAGATTTGATCAAAGACAAAATTGAACCAAATGCTAAGGATTCTTTCAGTGAAAATAGCAGCAGCAACTGTACCAGTGGCAGCAGCAAGCCGAATAGCCCCAGCATTTCCCCTTCAATACTTAGTAACACGGAGCACAAGAGGGGACCTGAGGTCACTTCCCAAGGGGTTCAGACTTCCAGTCCAGCTTGTAAACAAGAGAAAGATGATAAGGAAGAGAAGAAAGACGCAGCTGAGTGAGTAAACCTGGAACTTAGACCATCCTGTTAATTAACTTTTTTTTAAACGTGTTTAGGTCTTTCCAGCTGAAGAATCGATCTGGACTTTTAGACTGCTTTATACATTGCCCTTAATTTACAAACAGCTAGTCCAAACGAGTAACATCTTAAGTAAATTAGGTTATTACACCCTGTGCTACTCTTTTGTTCTCCCCCTTTTTTTGCACTCCAGAACAGAAAAACAAGGCATAAATTAAGAAAAATTTTTCTGTAAATGAACTGGAGTTGAAAAATTACCAATTTAGGGGACCTCTCTTAAATGGATTCCACTCATTAGTCACCCCCACCGTGCTGCTGGGATGAAAAACTGCCACTGCCAAGGAGAGAAGCATGCAGTGCTCCTACTTGGAATTCAAAATATTTTTCATCAGAAACAGTGTTTTAGTTAATGTTTAGATTTGTTAAGATAGACTTAATTCTGTATATTCAGTATATTTTTAGTTAAATGGACTTTTAAGGGCTAACCTCAGAACTTAACTACTATTAACTTAGGTGTTCTGGGTACCAGACAACCCAGTTAAAGCTGAAGTTTTGGAATGCAGCTCATTGATAAATTGGGGACTGCTTATTCTTGATTTGAGGCAAAGTTTTTTTAGAGCCATGATTTTCTCCAGGCATGTTATGTAGAAAATATCTTCTCACATAAAAAATGCTGCATACTAGAATATTGGTATGTTGACCGGGCATGGTGGCTCATACCTATAATCCCAGCACTGTGGGAGGCAGAAGCAGGCAGATTATCTGAGGTCAGGAGTTGAAGACCAGCCTGGCCAACATGATGAAACCCTGTCTCTACTAAAATTACAAAAATTAGCCAGGCAAGGTGGTGGGTGCCTGTAATCCCAGCTACTCGGTAGGCTGAGGCAGGAGAATTGCTTAAACCCAGGAGACAGAGATCTCAGTGACCCAAGATTGTACCTCAGTGACCCAAGATTGCACCACTGCACTACAGCCTGGGCGACTGAGTGAGACTGTCTCAAAAAAAAAAAGGATATTAGTATGTTAAGAATTGCCTTTAAGGATATTTTATAAGTATTTACTGTCTTTTCAGTTTGTTTGTTGATTGGCCTGGCACGGTGGCTCATGCCTGTAATCCCAGCGCTTTGGGAGGCTGAGTCTGGCAGTTCACCTGAGGTCAGGAGTTTAAGACCAGCCTGGGCAAAACAGTGAAACCCCGTCTCTACTAAAAATACAAATATATATATAGGCTGGGAGCGGTGTCTCACACCTGTAATCCCAGCACTTTGGGAGGCTAAGGGAGGGATCACAAAGTCAAGAGATCAAGACGATCCTGGCCAACATGGTGAAACGCCATCTCTACTAAAAATACAAAAGTAGCTGGCCGTAGTGGTTCGTGCCTGTAATCCCACCTATTCAAGAAGCTAAGGCAGGAGAATAGCATGAACCAGAGGTAGAGGTTGCAGTGAGCCAGGATCGCACCGCTGCACTTCAGCCTGCACAACAGAGTGAGACTCTGTGAAGAGAAAGAAAAAAGTATTTTTTTATTGTCTTTGAGAAGAGCAGTTGTATATTACTTAGATTTTAAATAAATTGTTCTTTTATGGCTATATTCTTTAAGAGATTAAGGAATGGGCAATATAAGTATGTGTGTCAGTAAAGAGGGCTATTGATCTAGTGAGAACAGTTTAAATCTATGTTTAGCAGTTTTTAAAAAATGGTCTGATATGGAAGATTTTAGAGCAACGTAAAGTCCGTGTAGATTTCACTGGCCTTTATATTTTTTTTAGGCAAGTTCGAAAGTCAACATTGAATCCCAATGCAAAGGAGTTCAACCCACGTTCCTTCTCTCAGGTAGGTTTATTACTTTCTTTGAGGTTATCTAGACTCAAAAAAATAAAAATTATTAGTAATAGTCCTTCTTCCATACCTGTCATCTAAATTTAGTTTTAGTATGCCAAAACAACCTTCTTTATTTTTCTTACATGGCCATTAATGAATAGTTTTTAGACATAAAAAGGGGTCTTTGTTTTGCCATCAATTAGATGTGATCTTGGGCAAATCTTTGAATTTTTTCTGACCAAGAATTTGGCGATGGTTGGCTAACTAGGCTATCAGGTTTATAGATGGGGCCTCTGCATATGATGGTTTTGCATCCTTGGATTCAACCAACCATGGATCAAAAATATAGTTAGGCTAATCTGTATTGAACATGTGCAGACTTTTTCTTGTCGTTATTTCCAAAACAATATAGTAAAGTATTTACCTTGTTTTAGGTATTATAAGTAATCAAGAGATGATGTAAAGTACACAGGAGGTGATGCATAGGTTGTATACAAATACTACACCATTTTATATAAGGCACTTGACCATTCCAAGACTTTGATGTCTTAGCAGGGTACTGTAACCAGTACCCCACAGATAACAAGAGATGACTGTGCTGTTATTCTACTGAGATCATAAGAAGAAATAATAATTTTTAAAAATACTTCAGTTTCTTAAAAATTACTACCACTGTTTTTATATTATTTTTCAATTGGCAGAGCTTTTAAAATTTCTACTGTAATATTTTTCTTTCATTGAAATATGAAAATTTGTTTGCTGTGTTGTTTTTGTTTTCAATAAAATGGATTAGTTAAAGCAACTGAAACTAGAAAGATTGGAAAAATCAGTCTTTAAATTTCAATAATAGTTCATTTGTTACCTTGAAATAATTGAATTTATTGTTGTTTTTGTAGCCAAAGCCTTCTACTACCCCAACTTCGCCTCGGCCTCAAGCACAACCTAGCCCATCTATGGTGGGTCATCAACAGCCAACTCCAGTTTATACTCAGCCTGTTTGTTTTGCACCAAATATGATGTATCCAGTCCCAGTGAGCCCAGGCGTGCAAGTAAGTCATAGAATTTGATGTACACTTAGCTTCCCTCATTGCTTGTATCTGACACCAAGCACTCTTAGGTTTTCAGTGACTTGATGTGTTGGTATGTGTATGCATTTTAAACAGAGAGGCATGCAGAGGTTCAGTGTGTTGTTAGGTATAAGGACCTAAATCTGAGAATGTTTTCTAGTGAAAAAGGTGGTTTAGATTTATTGTAGTTTGGGGTTTATTCCTTTTAGCTGTGGGTATGATCTTATTTTTTAATGACTAATAGTCAGGAAACCTCATGCCTAGCTCTCTAGCAATATAAAACTAAGAGTGATAGAATACCTTCTTATTATCATAGGAGCCTAATATTAATATATTTTTTTTAATTCTCTCAAGCCTTTATACCCAATACCCATGACGCCCATGCCAGTGAATCAAGCCAAGACATATAGAGCAGGTAAAGGTGAGAATAATCCTGCCTGTGTTTGCTTATTAGTCTGCATGCTGCATAAATTGAATAACTCAGTTTATAATGAATAAATAGTTGTAATTTAGCTTTGACTTGTTGATGAGGCTATACATTGACTTTTGATGACCAGCATTACATAGATATTCACATGGATTTTATGAACAGAAATGGAAGGAGAAATGCCCATCAGTTGTGATTGTTTAGTATCCTCTTCAAAAAGAGTAATTGGAGGCCGGGTGCAATGGCTCACACCTGTAATCCCAGCACTTTAGGAGACCGAGGCAGGAGGATTGGTTGAGCTCAGGAGTTCATGATCAGCTTGGACAACAGAGATCTTATCTCTACTAAAATTCAAAAAAATTAGCTGGGCGTGGTGACATATGCTTGTAACCCCAGCAATTTGGAGGACTGGGGCGAGAAGTTAGCTTGAGGCTAGGAAGTAGAGGCTGTAGTGAGCTGTGATTTGCCTTTGCCCTACAGCCTGGGTGACAGAGTGAGACCCTGTCTCAAAAATAAATAACAGCTGGGTGCAGTGGCTCATGCCTGTAATCTCAGCACTTTGGGAGGCCGAGATGGGTGGATCACCTGAGGTCAGGAGGTTGAGACCAGCTTGGCCAACATGGCAAAACCCCATCTTTACTGAAAATAGAAAAATTAGCCAGGTGTGGTGGCACGTGCCTGTAATCCCAGCTACTAGGCAGGGCTGAGGCAGGAGAATTGCTTTAACCCGGGAGGTGGAGGTTGCAGCGAGCAGGAGATTATGCCACTGCACTCTAGCCCGGACAACAGAATGAGACTCTATCTCAAAAACAAACAAACAAACAAACAAACAAAAAACCAGACTAATTGGCTGGATGCAGTGGCTCCATGCCTGAAATCCCAGCTGAAGGATTTCTTGAGCTCGTGATTTCTTTTGAGCAGCCTGGGCAATATAGTGAGATCCTAGCTCAAAAAAAAAAAGAAGTAATTCTAAAGTTTTAAATCTGAAATCTGATTTAAGTCTGAACTTAAATTTGGAAAGGAGGGTTTGCTAGATTAATTTACTAGATTGGTAACTTTGCTTTATATATACCTACAATTATTTCCCCAAAGCTAGAATTTCTTTTGAAGCAGAGAGGCAAAGGTTAAAATCCTGTTAGAAGGATGTTTTGGCCAGGCTTGGTGGCTCATGCCTGAAATTCTAGCACTTTGAGAGGCCAAGATGGGTGGATCGCTTGAGCCAGGAATTGGAGACCAGCCTGAGCAACATGGCAAAAACCCATCTTTACAAAAAAAAGTAGAAAACTTAGCCAGCTGTCGTGGTGTGCTCCTGTAGTCCTAGCTACTTGGGAGACTGAGGTGAGAGGATCAGTTGAATCCAGAAGGTTCAGGCTGCAGGGAACTGTGACTGCACCACTGGGCTCCAGGCTGAGTGACAAAGCTAAACCCTGCCTTGAAAAGAAAAAAAAGATAGATGTTTCTGCATTAAAATGAGGGAGTTGTTGTATAATCTAATTGCATAAACTAGTATTCTATGCTTGTGTGGTTAAAGAGCCTTTGTAGAAAAAAAATCCTACATTTTTCTTAAAAAGAAAAAAAAAAAAATCTTTTGGCCAGGCATGATAGCACACACCTGTAAGCCCATCACTTTGGGAAGCCGAGGTGGGTGGATTACTTGAGGTCAGGAGTTCGAGACCATCCTGGCCAATATGGTGAAACCCTGTCTCTAGTGAAAATACAAAAATCAGCCAGGTCTGATGATGTGTGCCTGGATGACAGAGCGAGACTCTGTCCAAGAAAAAAAAGAGTTCTTTAATGTTGGAAAATGCTAAAGGATTCCTTTTTTGCCCACCAGCTAATTTAGAGTGATTAATTGCTATCAGTTGAGAAACCATAGAAAGTAGAATAATTTATACAGAAAAGACATTTCTCAGTGCAATTACCTTTCTGACATAAAGTTTTTATTTTTCCTGAATTAATAAGATATCCACAATGTGTGTATGTGTGTGTGTGTGTGTGTGTGCGTGTGTGTGCGCGTGCGTGTGTGTTTGTTTTTGTGAGATAGGGTCTCACTTTGTTGCTGAGGCTGTGGTTTAGTGCTGCTATCATGGTTCAGTGCAGCCTCAACCTCCTGGACTCAAGTGATCCTCCCATCTCAGTCCCCTGAATAGCTGGGACTCCAGGTGCACACTATTACACCTAGCTAATTTTTGTATTTTTTGCAGAGATCGGTTTTGCCATGTTGCCCAGGCTGGTCTCAAGCTCCTGGGCTCAAACGATCTGCCTGCCTCAGCTTCCCAAAATACCCATGCTCAGCGGATTTTTCAATGTTTGACGTAATCGTGATTTCATGAATGTTAACTAAAACTCTTAATTTTAGTTTTCTCAGTATGGTGTTCCTTTTTTAGCCTTAGAACACTCGAACCTGTTGAAAGAACTCTGCCTGAAAGAATGTAATCAAATTATATAGTTTAATTTTATTTTGAGGGACTGTAAAAATTCCAGGAAGAAAATGGGTTTTTTTTAAGTGCCATTTTATTTTATTTTATGTATTTATTTTTTCTATTACACAAATGCTTCTATATTTTGTTTCAGGATAAAGTGCCATTTTAGTGTAACATTAAGGTTTTCATGTATCACTAGAAGGTGTCGCTATTTTCAATGATTACTTAAAACAGTACAATGGGAACTTTAAAAGATTACTGCAGTAAGAATAAGCATGAAAGTTTGGTTCTCTGATGGGAAAGTTACATTCTAATTTTAGGAGGTACAGTCATTTTAATAGAAATGATATACGCAGGATATCTTAACCAGTTAACAAGTTCTACTGAGGCATTTCTTGATGTTTTCTTTTCTTTTTTTTGAGATGGAGTTTCTCTCTTGTTGCCCAGGCTGGAGTGCAGTGGTGCCATCTTGGCTCGCTGCAACCTCTGACTCCCATGTTCAAGCAGTTCTCTGCCTCAGCCTCCCAAGTAGCTAGGATTATAGGCATCCACCACCATGCCCGGCTAGTTTTTGTATTTTTAGCAGAGATGGAGTTTCACCATCCTTACCAGGCTGGTCTTGAACTCCTGACCCCATGATCTACCTGCCTTGGCTCCCAAAGTGCTGGGATTATAGGCGTGAGCCTCCTCGCCCGGCTACTGAGGCGTTTCTGATGGACAGAACCAATGCACAGTCAAGAATATCGGCTGTGAATATGTGCTGTGCTAAGAATTTAGGAAGTGAGTAGGGTATTTGCTTTATCACATCATTCAGATTCTATGATTATGAAGATTTTGCCATATAGACTTCATATGTACTTTTTTTCCTTGTTGAAGTATTTAAAACCTCAGACATCATGTCATTTAATTCCTACATCCTTGATGTGTATCTTTTTTAAAATAGGAATTTTTCTTAGGTAGCCATAGTGCTGTTATCACATTTTATAAAATAAATAGTGATTCAGTAGTAACCACACATAGTTAAATCACCCTAATTGAGTCAAGAATATATTCTTGCAGATGGTTTGTTATGAATATAGATCTATACATTATTACATTTATTGTATATTGTATCTCTTTGTAGTTCCCCTGCCTTTTCCCCCATTATTACTTTGTCTCAGAAGCCGGTTTTGTGGTATGTCATGCATTCTGTTTTTCTGTTTTCTTCTTGGGATGTCATTGATTACATCTGGGTTCAGTTTGGGTCGCAGGGGTTGGGGGTGGACAAATACTAAATGGTACAGTGTGCTTTTGTATCATATGTCAGCAGGCACACAATATCTTTTCCTACTTTTAATTATTGTATGATTGATTAAGTGCTCAAGTGGTAATACCTTGCTCCCCTCCCCTGCCACCTCCCCATTGTAAAGTTTTCTATTGATCATTTATGTAATTCATTATTGATTTAATGCTTAACATCATTTTTTACTTTAGGGCTATGGTTCTCAAATTTTGGTGTGCAATAGAAACCCTTGGGGAGAGCTTGCTGAACACACAGATTGCTTTATCCCATCTCCAGATTTTCTAATTCAGTAGATTTGGGGCATAGCCTGAGAATTTGCATTTCTACTGCAGTTTATGAAACCAGCTCCCAAGTAATGCTGCTAGTCTAGGGCTATGCACTGAAAACTACTGCAATTTAGGGTTTGTAAAGGGTGATTTCTGAATTCCTAGCATTTCTTCTCTGTTCATTAGCTGGAATCATTCTGTAAAGGACTATTATTTTCAAGTAGGATTTTTTGGTTATCCTAAAATAGTTTGTACAAGAAAGGAAAAATTCTTAATTCTTTTCAATTTTTTTTTTTTTTTTTTTAGACGGAGTTTCGCTCTTGTTACCCAGGCTGGAGTGCAATGGCGCGATCTTGGCTCACCACAACCTCCACCTCCTGGGTTCAGGCAATTCTCCTGCCTCAGCCTCCTGAGTAGCTGGGATTACAGGCATGCACCACCATGCCCAGCTAATGTTTTGCATTTTTAGTAGAGACAGGGTTTCACCATGTTGACCAGGATGGTCTCGATCTCTTGACCTCGTGATCCACCCGCCTCGGCCTCCCAAAGTGCTGGGATTAACAGGCGTGAGCCACCGCGCCCAGCTCTTTTCAATTTTCAAAGTGAGGAGTTGGTGCCCTTGCTACTTCCCAAACTTTAGTGCCCAAAATGTTTTGCTTTTTTTTTTTTTTCTTTTTAAGGATGTGTCAGGCGGGCACGGTGGCTCATGCCTGTAATCCCAGCACTTTGGGAGGCCAAGGCAGGCGGATCACCTGAGGTTGGGAGTTTGAGACCAGCCTGACCATCATGGAGAAACTCCGTCTCTACTAAAAATACAAAGTTAGCTGGGCATGCTGGTGCACTCCTGTAATCCCAGCTACTCTGAAGGCTGAGACAGGAGAATCGCTTGAACTCGGGAGGCAGAGGTTGCCATGAGCCGAGATCACGCCATTGCACTCCAGCCTGGGCAAAAAAAGCAAAACTCCGTCTCAAAAAATAAAATAAAAAAGAAAGGCTGTATCCTCTCCCAATATTATTATTTAT